GGGGGGGGGACTTGTGTCTTTTGCACACTCAATACTTGTTCACACTTTTCCTCCTCAACGGAGCCCCCACCCCCCAAAAAAACTCCTCCCCACAGGCAGTCCTCCTTTAGTGGCCGCTCGGAGTCACAAAGGGGAGGTGGGAGGCAAAAAGGGACTTGGGTCTTTTGCACACTCAATACTTGTTCACACTTTTCCTCATCAACAGAGCCCCCACCCCACTGCCCCCCCCCCAAACCCTCCCCCCCCCTCCCCGTCGCCCCGCTTGCAACAAAAGCGCCTGTTACAAAACTCCAGCGGGGAGGGGGGGGGGGAAGTGTCCGGTTTTGTAACCAATCCGTCGTGTGACGAGAACCAATCCGCATCGCCGACCGGATCCCGCTGGCCAATCAGCGCCCGACCTGCCTTATATAAGCCCGGGCCCGCGCGCGGGGTGGGCGCAAAGGGGGGCGTGAGAGAGAGAGAGAGAGAGAGCGAGCGAGCGGGATGGGACGCGGTTCCGCAGCAGGAGCCGCGACGACAGCGGCAGCCACTGCAGCGGCTCCGGCCAGCGGTGGCGGCCGCCGGAACCGCCGGAGCCGCAACCCTTACGGCCGACTCCCGCAGCTCCGCACCCGCCGGCGGCCGCCGCCGCTTCTCCGGGGCTCCCGGGCACTGCTGGCCTCTCGCCCGGCTTCTTCTTCCCTGTCGGAGGCGGCGGCGGCGATGCTGCACCGCTTCCCGGCGCTGCGCGAGTTGGTGGAGCGCTTGAAGCGGCGCCTGGGAGCCGGCAAGACGGACGGGTGCCGGCCGCCGTGGGACCCCGGCTTAGGCTGCGGGGAGTGCGGCGGCTTCCTCTGCCAGCCGGTCTCGCTGCTGTGCGGCCACACCTTTTGCAAGGAGTGCGTGGAAAGGCGGCGCGGGGCTGCTGCCCGGCGGCGGGGGGCGGCGGCGGCGGCGACCACCCTCCCCGGGACCGCCGGAGACGCCTGCAGCCTCTGCCCGGGCGCCCGGATGGCTCCGTCCCGCCTGCGGGTCAACGTCCTCCTGACCCACCTGTTAGCCAAGGGCTTCCCCGAGCAGGTGCGAGCCGCTCGGCTCCGCCACGAAGGCAACGTGCTGTGCAAGGAAGGGCGGCTACAAGCGGCGCTGGAGAAGTACGACCAAGCCCTCCGCTTGGGTGAGTCACTTTTTTGGGGGGGTTGCAGAGGGGCGTTCACACATGACGCGTGTCAAGCGCTGACTCGGAAGGGGCGTTTGGAGCGGGTGGAAGTGAGCTACCGGGGGTGGGGCTAGGAAGCCTTCAATACACCCGGGTTACCTTTCCTCCGTGTTTGAATTCGGAACAACAGAGTTGGAAGGGGCCTTGGAGGTCATCTACTCCCCCCCCCCCAGACAGGAGACCCTCTATCGTTTGGGACAAATGTGGGGGACGGACGTTGGAGCCTTCACCACACCCGGGTTAACTTGTCCCCGTGTTCTTTACCCGGCGACTTTCCTCTATGTTGGAATACAGAATAACATTTGGAAGGGGCTTTGGAGGACGTCTAGTCCAACCCCCCCCCCCTGCTCTCCTCTACCATTTCAAACAACTGGGGGGGGGATCTTCAATACACCCCACTTAACTTGTCCCCCTCTTTAACTAGCAACTTTCCTCTGTTCTGTTTGAATACAGAACAGAGTTCTGTTGGAAGGGACCTTGGAGGTCTTCTAGTCCAACCCTCCCTTGCTCAAGGCAGGAAACTCCATATCATTTCAGACAAATGGTAGTCCAATCTCTTCTTAAAAACTTCTGATGTTGGAGCATTCACAACTGCTGGAGGCTAGCTGTTTTTTCTCCTCTGAGCTAGGGAGAAACTTGGCTCCTGCAATTTTTAAAGCTATCCCTGGGGGGGGGGGGGGGGGGTTTGACCTTTGCTGGCAGGCAGAAATTCAACAGGTAAAGTGGGGGGAGGGGAGCTTCCCTGAGCAACAAACACATGCAGGTTTGAACCATTTTTTTTGTTCTGGGTTTCTACATGGTGCAAATCCGCCTGCGCTTTGTTCAGTGGAACCCATTAAGAGTAGAGATAGCTTGCTGCTTCCTGTTTGCTAACTTTCATTAACTTTCATTTCTGTTTGCATGGGGGGGGGGGAGGAAAAAGTCGGTTTAAGAACTGACGGGAAAGCAACGCTTTGCTGGGTCTTTTTGATTGGCGCCACTCTGACCATGGTTTGAAGCATCCCTTTTCCTCTTTCTTCCGTTTCCATTTTCTTCCCTTTCGGATTCAGTTTATTGCTGGTGCGTTATTTTGTCTTTCATCAAAAGCACCCCTTGCTATGTGTGACTTTCACTGTTTTTCTTCGAACTGCCAGGCCCTTCCTGCACTCTGCAAGGAAGTGACATTACCTTCAGACAACCATTCTATTCCATATCAACTCTTGCCTGTATCGGCACCCATGATTGTGGCTTATTCCGTTAGCCCAACATTGTGAGTTTGCATAACCCTCAGTAACATAGATAAGCTGGGTTATACAACAGGCTTTTGGCTGAAACCTAGCGAGTAGTTCAGTAAACTTAACTTCTGGAAAAGTTTTCTCCTAAACGGATAATTTATGCTACACCTAGTCAGTGTAAAAGTTATTTATTATGTATGCATAAATGGCAGTGTTTGTCCCCCCCAAAAAACAAGCCAACAAACCCAACCATTATCTTCACGGAGGTTTGATTAACTCTCAAGATTTGATCAAGCCAGGATGGTCTTCCAGAAACCCACTTCCCCGCATCCTTCCTCCTTTCTACTCAGCTTTGATCCGTGGCTCTTGACTTAAGTTAACTAGCATTCCTCAAACATCTTTGGATTTCTATCTTCTTTGTGCAGTTTGCATTTCTGCCTTGCACCCAGGACAGTAAGATAATAACCAACCAGAACCGTATTATTAATAGAGTAACAATTGGAAGGGACCTTAGAGATCCTCTAGTTCACCCCCCCCCCCCGGCTCAACAGCAAACCCGATATCCTTCGGGACAATAGCACAGAATAAAGTTTAAAACCATTCCTCAAACTAGCCCAGGTTTTCTCGGAGGCCTCCATTCAAGGCTAAGACTGAGACAAATGCAGAATATACCATCCAAAACTTTGCCAGTCACCGGATCATGGTCTATGTCAAACACCTGAATGCAGACAGTCCCGAAACTCCCAAAAAATGGGGAAGACGATGCTTTTCCAACTTTTAGTGGGAATTTCTGGGGCTGGGCTCTGTTGGAAAGCGTCTTTTGAAGGAGTTTGCAGCTCGTTTCTCAGGTCTTGCGCTGACCTTTGGAACAGGCGCACCGGCGATAAATTTCAGCTGATCCTGGGTTCAAACCCAATGACCTTCTCTTCCCGATAAGCCGAGATTCCATGTAGCATACTGTTAGGCGTGAGCAAACCAATGCATCGTTTTGGCCAAGGTTGCTACATGAATCCTCCCACGTCTGTGAAATGGGTTTCTTTGCCCCCAGAGCGGAACGGGCAGTCTGCTCTCTTTAAATCAGCACCCAAAATAGGTCAGGAGGACAGCTGGTTGCATAAGCTAGCTTGGACCGAGTGTCTTCCACCACCACACCACCACACCCCTCCCTTAACAGTTGTATAACTAGGGATGGGGGGAGAAGAAAAGAGAAGGCCTTGAAACCTCAAAAATCAACAGCAGGTCGCTCTGCCCCGGTTGTGCTACAACCTATTGTTGAGTCATCCTCCAAGGACTCTGGCTGGTGAGCTGTTTCTTCTCCAATTCGCACATTTTCCCCAGCCAAAGAATTCCTCCAACCTGCCCCCGCATCCTTTCAACTGGCCTGCAATCTGGGTTTGTGATCAGGGATCCTTGCTTGCTCTCTGAGCTTGATAGTTTTCTTACAAAAGATATATACACATACACACACACACACACATATATATACACATACACATATATATATATATATACACACACACACACACACACACATATATATGCACATACTATACACACACACATATATACTGTATATGCACACATATATATATATATATATATATCTCACTCTGAGAAGCACAGAGCCGGAGACAGAAGCCTGAAGATGATGAATGAGACTTCATCGAAACGTTGCCTAGATACTTCGAATCTTACGCGGGAGAAAACCCGAACAACCAAATATACATACATACATACACACACACACACACACACACACACACACACACATATAATTTGTTTTTGTATATTATTATTATTTATACAGTTTTCTTTAACCTACATAAGTGCTTAATAAACCGTATATCGTCCGAGTCGATTTACTTATACATAATAATAGTAATAATATTATTTGCTTGTGCATTGTGGTATTCACCCAGCTTCTAATTTTCGCCTCTCATCTCTAGCCATTGATAGAAGAAATCCCATGTTTAAAAAAAAAAAAAATCTGTATTTTCTTTATCCTTTAATGTTAAAACTATCCATTTCCGACTTGCAGATGTTTTATTACCCAAACCTCTACCCCCCCCAAAAATAATTCCACCAAGCTTGGAGACCACCAAGGACCCCTCGTTTCAACCCTGACCTACAAATATTCTCTTCTTTGTTGGATTTATTATCTATTGGATGAACAGATAAAAAGGAGGGTTTTTAAGATTGGTTGTGCCTGATTAAATACAGGTCGCCCCTCAACTTAAGAGTTGGCTTAGTGATGGAAGTTGCAACGGCACTGAAAACAAACAAACAATGACTTGCGACTGATTTTTCACACTTATGACCACGGCAGCATCCCCACAGTGGCTTTGCGACCGACTCACAGTTATGACAGTTACAGGGTCCCTGGGAGCTGGAGGGCAGTTAGAAGATCCCGTTTTACAGCTTTCTAACAAGCCAAGTCGGCGGGGGAGGGGAGCCGGATTCGTTTAAAGACCCTATGACTCGTTTAACGACTGCAGCTTAACGAAATTGGGCATGGGTCATTTTGCCCATTTCTCAGACAGGGAAGTGGGTTGCAAAACAGCAAAAGGGAGGACCCCAAAGACTTTAGTGAGTGAGCCATTTCGTTTCCGAAGGGTAGCTAGCAAGATCATATCTGTCTGTCTGTCTGTCTGTCT